AGTTTTGTTACTTAAAAATTCATCATATTTATACGAAAGCTTTGAAATGTAGCTTAGGGCTCAACCAAAAATGGTCATCTGGTCTTTGAGGATAATATCTGTTCCCTACTGAAACGGCTTTCTTACATTTGACGAACACAACAAAATGGAGTTCTACAGCCTTGTAAATAACTTACAAAGAAATAGAACCATTAAATGATACTTGCTTCAATTTTCTTCTCATTTGCACTTCAACTTCTACACTTTCAGTTCATAATCATCAAAAGCACTTTGTCCCTTACAAACTGTCAGCTCTCTTCATAGGTGGGCTCTTCTTCAGCAGTTGATGACTGACCGAAGGCTATAAGACTCGTGTGAGTACTTCCTTCAGCCACCATAGCCTGAACAGCCTGCCGTCAAATAAGTAGATGATAAGGGTATGTAATATTTACAGCAATGAGTTTAATATGAAACAGGTTTAATATCTGAAGATACATAACACATTTGATTCATTAAGATAAAGATAAAACAAATGAACGTTAAAAGGGAAAGCTTGAGTTGTGGCACGGATTATGCGAGAAGTAAGAGAACAAGGAGAACAAGGAGCCTCAAAATTTTCCCTGATGGTTGATGCACAAAAGTCTAACCTGAAAAAATTACAAATAAAACTTAACTTTATACAGCAGACTCTGTGTAAAAGAGGCATGCTTGGTCGTCCATTGGAAAATAATTGAAAAGGCAATATTTCTAGAACATATTAAAAATGTGCAACCAAAATGATATTATGAGTTAAAAGTACTTTTTCGAGGTATATAAATAAAAAACACATTCCAATGCTAGCAAATACTAACAAAATTGAAGTAATCCTTTAAAAAAATTAAGAAAAGGGAAAGTTTTGGCACAACAACCAACATCAACTTACTGCTTTATGGGTGTGTGCAGATAAACAATTTCATGAGTTTTATGCAGGTGCACGCAGATTACTTTCTTGAGAGGTTTATAAACAAAGTAAAGTAAAAAAAAATTCTATTAAAATGGTATATTCTATAAACTCACTATTTTAAGTTTAAAAGGTTTATTTTATTTTATGCGAACTAAGCATGTGAGAGAATACATGAGAAATAATAGCCAATTTGTAGTAACTAAAATTTTCCGTCGTTTTTCTTTAGTTGAGATCAACACAAGGGAATTCCGCTTGCAATCTTTGCATTATAACATTAAAGATGAAGGCAGAAAGAAAGGGAGAAAATCGCAGATGATGGAATTTTCTTCAAAATATCTTAAAATTTGTCTAAAAGAAATTCCTGGAGATATCGGGGAAGTACATAAGTACCTTTTCTATTTCACTAAAGACAAGAGGATGGTCTCTTAGATACTGTAGTGCTTTCTCTCTGCCTTGGCCCAGCCTGTTCAAAAGTTAAGAAACAATTAGATTGGTTATTTTTTATCTATTTATTATTATTCTTTATTTTTAGAATGAATCACAGCCTGATGCAAGCATCATTTGAACTTCAAACCTCTTGTTCACTGCAAAGAGGCTTTACCACTTTAAACCTCCAAAAAGAGATTCAAAAATTTAAGTGTCCTTTTTTTCTTCTTCTTCTTCTTTTTTTTTTCTTTTTTTTTTTGGCTATTCAAAAATCTGGCAACACATACTTCGCACAACCCTATGCTGTGCATCTTTGAGGATACCCATTTCTCTAAAAGGACGATTTTATATTTTTTGATTTGGTAATTACTTATGTGCACAAACAACTATTCTTAATATTTCACTATTTTAATACTTTTGCTGCATGTACAAATTGCTGCATATAGAATTAGGGGCTGTTTGGTTGCACACTTTTTGAAAAAACTTTTCTCAAAACATCTGACAATGGCAAATTTGTAATTAAAAGTTTTCTAGAGATTTCTATAAATTGTGTTTGGTTCAACAAAAAATTTACAGAAATATTTTCTATAAAATATCAAAACCTACCAAATTTTACAAAAAGCAATTTCCTCTCAAAATAAGAGAAAATCACCAGAAATCTGACACATACCATATTTAATTAAAAACCTACCAAATCTTGTTATTTTCTATAAAGTTATGAGCTATTTTCTTGTTTTGAACCAAACAAGCAAAGTACAAAAAACAAGAAAATTGGTACTTTTTTATTTCTCAAAACTTTTCCTATAATTTTTTTAAGAAATACAAGGAAATCATATTTTAGGTGGAAAACATTTCCTATAATTTCTAGAAATTGAACCAAACACCCCCTAATACAATATATACCAAATTCCAAAACCATTACCCTTTTCCTTTTTTTTTTTTCCTCTTTGCCTTTTCCGGAGTTTGTTTTTTAGGAGGGTGAACATAATGGAAACTCAATGGCCACATAAGTAAATGAAAGATTCTCAGGGGTTAAAGAAGGAAGGTGCTCCCTCTTCCCCACCCCCACAGCCACCACCTCCTCCTCCTCTCACATGTACGTATTAAATCAAAATAAATGTGACCTCCAAGTTCAAGGCCAAACCTGTGTTCTCCATAGCTATACCATGCACCCTTCTTTGCGACAATATCTGTAATCTCAGCACAATCCAAGACACAGCCCTACATGTAAGAATCAGTCAACAACATTATGAGCTTCAACTTTCAGAAACTTGAGAGCTGCATTTCTGTCCTCAGCTTATAGATACTGACCACTTTATTCACTCCTTCCCCGAACATGATCTCAAATTCAGCTTGCTTGTAAGGTCTGGATACCTGAAATCAAATTAAAATGAGAAATTGCAGTCACTATTTACTGAATTAACTTTTCAGTGAAAGCTAAAAACTAAAATATTTAGCTGACTTCCCAACATTTGAGTAGATTTACTTATTTAGTCTGAAAATAAGCCATCAAAAGAAAAAGAAAAATGCTTAGCATACTTTGCTTTTCTGCACCCTCACACGAACCCTGACCCCAATATCTTCATCACCCTTGGCCTGAAAAAAAAAGAACCAATAAATGACCAGAAAATATTAAAAGAGAAACATAGTGTTGGTGCACTGAAACTAAAGCTAGTTGCATGAGGATTGTGCTTACAGACTTTATCTTCCCGGTAGAACGTATCTCAAGGCGAAGAGATGCAAAGAACTTTAATGCAATACCTCCACTGGTAACTTCAGGATTTCCATAATAAACACCAATCTTACCAAATCAAGCACCACAATAATTTATTAGTCCATAATGTGTGTTGATCAATCAAGATACATGTGCAAGAAACAAATGTAGCAGAAATGAGAATCTGTGATGAACAAGGGGATATACACTAAGACATATGATAAGAAATGAGTGAATGTGTAGGGAGTTAAGAGGTTGCTACTATTGAGGATAGCTGAGAGAACTGTTTAAGATGGATTTGCATTTGCAATGTTGGCCATGAAATGCACTAATTAGGAGAATTGATAAGATATAATTAATGGCGAAAGAAGGACTAGAGATAGACCAAAAAGAACATGGTTAGAAGCTGTTAAGAAGGATATGATATTGATTTAGTGAAGGAGAACCCTCAACTGAATAGAGTGAAAGAGCTGGATTGGGACATCATTGTTGTAGTAGTATGAGGAATATAGGAGAGGAAGGTGAAACCTTGTATCTTATCTGGTTCAAGAATATGAGAGTACAACCAGCTTTTGAGGCATTTCCTGACATTTTACGCAGAGCTTGACTCATTAAACGAGCTTGCAGGCCCATCTGTTGCATGCCAATCTCACCCTGAAATACATGGAATTTATTGTTAGAAGTTTATCAACAATGGAGCAGTGTTCATGAAAGAACAAACGTAACCATTAAGAAAGTTTACTTCGATTTCTGCCCGTGGAGTGAGGGCAGAAACAGAATCGATGCAAATGAGATCTATTGCTCCTGATCTGCACATACGATCCGCAACTGAGATAAAAGGATGTCAGTGGAGCCACAAGTTAACTTGTCAAACTTTTCTTTTACCCAAATAGTTTCTGAATTAAAATCAATTTTTTTTAAATTAATATATTGATAATTCAGTGATGATAACAGATGTCATATGATAGGTTATGCAGCTTAGATGGTATACTGACAGAATACTGTAGGAAATAGATCTAGGCGTGTGGGTAGCTGTATCACGCTGTATAGCTGATTCTTAGGAGATTAGTTACCTAAAATACTAATATTCTATATTAGTTAAGATTTTGTATTATATAGATCCTAATTTATAGGAGCCTATCAAGGCCATATGTACAGGATATTATGTGTATATATAGGTATTCAGTCCCATGTAAATAAAGAAGCATTTTTTCACGAACTTCACAAAGCTTCATGGTATCAGAGTTGTAGGTTCAGAAACCCTACCTCTCCTCTCTCAAACCGGCGCTCTTAGCCTTCCTCTCCTATTTCCGAAATCATCTCTTCATGGCGGAATCCGAACAAACATCCAGGGATTCATCTACATCTAATCTCTCTCCCAATATTCCTACAACCTCTCGGCTAACTCCAGCCACCACCGAAAATAATCTCGTCCCTATCACCACTCATAAACTAAATGGCCACAACTACCTTCAATGGTCTCAGTCGATGATGATGTTCATAAGCAGACGGAGCAAAGATGAATATCTTACTAGAGTTATTCCAAAACCAGATTCAATGTTGAATACGGAATCTGGAGAGCGGAAAACAATCTGGTTATGTCTTGGTTGATTAGTTCCATGACAACCGAGATAGGAGAAAAAAATTTGTTGTACACCACGGCAAAAGATATATGGGAAGCAACACGAGAAACGTTCTCTAGTAGCAAAAACACAGCCGAACTTTTTCATGTGGAGAGTACTCTCCAGGATCTTCGTCAAGGAGAAAACCCTGTGACAATCTATTTCATGACTCTTACTCGCTATTGGCAGCAGCTAGATTTATTTGAGATACATGAATGGAAGTGTGCTGAAGATCATGCGCATTTCAGAAAGATCGTGGAGACTAAACGAGTCTTCAAATTCTTGATGGGACTCGACAAATCTCTCGATGAAGGGGCAGAATTCTTGGAACTAAACCTCTACCCAGTCTGCGAGAGGCCTTTTCTGAAGTGCGTAGAGAGGAGAGCCGAAAACGGGTTATGTTGGGACAATCTCATCCTGCCTCAATCCCTGAAGTTACAGCATTTGCAGCAGTCAAAGACAATCTACCAGATTATGTTGCTGCTCGAAGTAATTCTCAAAATACCAATGATAATCAAAGCAGAAGAGGTCGTCCTTGGTGTGATCATTGTCGGAGACCTGGGCATTTGAAGGAAATTTGTTGGAAATTGCATGGAAAGCCTGCTGATTGGAAGCCAAACCGAGATCACGAGGCAAAGGGGAATGTTTTCTTTTCTGAAGCATCTCAATCTAGTAATTCTGCTCCATTCAGTAAGAAATAATTAGAACTTCTCCAACAACTCATACAAAAGGCAAATAACCCCACACAAAGCTCTAATAGTTCAGCACTACATGCAGCCAAATCATCCTCCTCGTCTTGGATTATAGACTCGGGTGCATCCGATCATATGACGGGTGACTGATCACTTTTCACAACTTATTCCTCTTGTACCATCCTTCAAACAGTATGTATTATCGATGGTACATGCACCAAAGTGGTCGGAACATGAACCATTTGTCTCTCAAATACCCTTACTCTTCAGTCAGTGTTATTTGTGCCCGAACTTGACTGTAATCTCATATCCGTTAGTAAACTGAATCGTGACTTAAACTGTGAAACTAAATTTCTTTCTAAATCTTGTATTTTCCAGGACTTGAGCTCGGGGACGACAATTAGCAATGCTGATTTTCGTGCAGGCCTCTATGTTCTAGATGTCAACACTCCTTCAATCCATTCAGTCAATCATCAGTGTTCATTGAGTCATAGTTTTAAGTCTGCTAGTCATTCTAATAAGGAAAGTAAAATCATGATGTGGCACTTTCGTCTAGGCCATCCAAATTTTCTATATTTAAAAGCTTGTTTCCATCCTTATTCATCAATAAAAATCCTAATTTATTTCATTATGAAGTTTGTCAATTGGCAAAGTATATTCGGAACACGTATTCACCACGATCATACAAACCAAGTCACCCTTTTTCTCTCATTCACGGTGACATTTGGGGGTCATTCCGTATTCCTAGTATAACTGGTGCTCGATGGTTTTTATTGTTAGTTGATGATCATACTCGATTGTGTTGGACATTTCTTATGAAAGAAATATCTGAAACCAAACACATATTTCAACATTTTCATGGCATGGTTCAAACTCAGTTCAAAGCCAATATTCAAATCCTAAAAACTGATAATGCCAAAGACTTCTTCAATTCAAGTATTGGTCCTTATCTCAAATATCACGGTGTTGTTCAACAAAGTTCTTGTGTTGACACGCCACAACAAAATAGTGTAGCTGAACGTAAAAACCGTCATGTACTTAAGGTTGCTCGATCTTTGCTTTTTCAACCCAATGTTCCTAAGAAATTTTGGGGTGAAATCATTCTCACTGCAACGTATCTGATCAACCGTATGCCTTCTCGGGTTTTCAAATTTCACTCACCTATGCAAACGTTTCAAGGTCTATATCCTTCCTCACGTCTTGTGTCACAAATTCCTTTCAAACTTTTCGTTCGCACTGCTTTCGTTCATGTCCATTCTCAATACCGTGGTAAACTTAATGCTCGTGCACTTAAGTGTATCTTTCTTGGATATTCAGCCAATCAAAAAGGCTACAAATGTTTCTCCCTTACTACCTAAAAGTTAATACCATGGATGTCACTTTCTTCAAAGAAATTCCTTTCTACTCCAATTCTGCAATTCAGGGGGAGAATAACACAAATGAATAGTAGAATTGGGATTGGTCATCACTCATTGAACCGAATTCACCATCCCAGGTTTCCTTCACTTTATCTTCTCCCTCTAATACTCAAATTCTGGTTCCAGTTTCAGATTCAGGTTCAAACTTGATCCAACATATGTCTCAATCAAATTCCATGCCCGATCAATCTCCTATTGTCTATCCTAAACATCTTCTTCCTGATGATGCTATAAAAGTTTATGAAAGAACGAAAAATCTTGATCTGCCTGTACCAAATCACACTATTTTAAAAAACCTCCGCCTAGTCCGCTTAGGCGTACGCCTAGACCTAGGCGGTACCTAGACCGTCTAACTAGCGCCTAGCGTTTAGACGATATTTAGGCTGCCCACCTAGATTTTACGAGCGTTTAGGGGAGCATTGTCTACTTACATAGATTGCACCATGTAGGTCTTGATTGTGATTTTATGTGTCGTAGCCTACACGTCCTCCAAACTCCATTAACCTCCAAATATGAACATCTCCACTACCTCCTCCGACCTTCAGCAAAACCTCATCGATCACCACTTAAATGAAGAAAGAAAAAAAAACGTCCAGAAACCGTTTAGGCGTCCGCCTAGGCGATTAAGCGCTGGGCGCCAAGTCCGACACCTAGAAGCGTCCAGCGTTTAATGTAACATTGCCAAATCAGCAAGGTCAAGAAACTCTTCTAAGCTAAGCCGAACTTGAAAGAATACAAGATGAGGCAGATTCTGGTCCACGGTCAGGTTCAGGTTGTAACCTGAAGTTGGATCTTCCTATTGCACAGAGAAAAGGTGTTCGATCATGCACTCAACATCCTCTTCACAGTTACATCTCTTACATAAATCTATCTCCAAAATTTCAGGCATTTGTGACATACTTAGACAAAATCACTATTCCCAACTCAGTTTATGAGGCTCTAAGGGTTCCAGAATGGCGCAAAGCAACCTTTGAAGAGTACACTGCACTTGAAAAGAATGGCACTTGGGTATCAACAAAACTACCTCCTGGAAAGAAGACAGTGGGTTGCAAATGGATATTCTCAGTCAACAGAAGGCAGAAGGATGTGTACATAGATACAAAGCTCGACTAGTGGCTAAAAGGTTCACTCAATCATATGGAATTGATTATCAGGAGACTTCTGCTCCTGTAGAAAAGCTTAACACAATTCGTGTCTTATTGTCTATTGCAGTTAACCAGGATTAGCCATTATTCTAACTTGATGTCAAGAACGCATTTTTAAACGGAGATCTAATCGAGGAAGTCTATATGGATATACCTTCTGGCTTTAAGACTAAGGATACACAGGGGAAGGTTTGCAAGCTAAGAAAGGCATTATATGGACTTAAACAGTCCCCTAGAGCATGGTTTGACAGATTCACCAAGGTCCTTAAACAGGATGGATACTCCCAGACACAGTCAGATCATACTCTGTTTGTTAAACACTTTACAGATGAGAGAATCACAGTTTTGATAGTGTGTGTTGATGACAGTTCTCACAGGGAATCATGAAGGAGAAATGAGAAGGCTTAAGATGCTATTGTCCAAGGAATTCGAAATTAAAGACTTGGGTTTTCTGAAATATTTCCTGGGAATGGAAGTGGCACAGAGCAGTCAAGGAATCTCAGTCTCTCAACGCAAGTATGTTCTAGATCTCTTGCGCGAGACTAGCATGATTGGGTGCAATCCTGTTGAAACTCCTACGGATCCTAATACCAAACTAATGCCTCGAACTGATGAATTGGCAGCCGATAATGGGCGATATCAACGCTTGATGGGTAAGTTAATATATCTAACTCATACACGTCAAGATATAAGCTTTGCTGTCAGCATTGTTAGTCAGTTTCTTGGCAACCCGTCAGTAGATCACTTGGAGGCAGTAAACCGTATCCTAAAATACTTGAAGAAGGATCCCGGGAAGGGACTTATGTTCAGGAAATCAATCAATCGGACATTGAAAGTTTATATTGATGCCGATTGAGCTGGATCTCCTTATGACCGAAAATCCACATCTGGATATTGCTCATTTATTTGGGGAAATCTAGTGATATGGCGTATCAAAAAACAGACAGCAAGGTTGTTGATAGCGGATCGCGGCGCATCGCGGTGAGGTACCGCTAAGGCTATATCGGGCTATTGCGGCGAAATCACGGCAAATAGCGCACAGTCAAATAGCGGTTAAATTTAAATATATTTAAATATCCTAAATAATAAGAAAATTCATAAAAAAATCTAAAAATTCAATTAGTTGTAAATTTCTTGTATTATCAGTAAATAACCATTAGTAGGCTTGTTGTATGAATGAAACTATGAAGAAATTCAAGAAATATAACATCATAATATGTATGATAGCGTGTTTAGCCGCTTTAAACCGCGAAAATCCGCTTTTAACCGTGAAAACCCGCTTTTAACCCGCTAAAATCCGCTTTTACGCGCTATTCGAATGAATAGTGGATTTTCCCGCTTAAGCCAGCCGCGAAACCCCTACGCGTAGCGCTAAAGGGCCGCGACCGCTATTCGTGCCGCTATAGCCCCGCTATTGGCCGCTATTTACAACACTGACAGACAGTGCTAGCACGTAGCAATGCTGAGACCGAGCTCCGTGCATTAGCCTTGGGCATCTGTGAAGGAATTTGGTTATGGCGACTGCTAAACGAACTTAAGATTGGAACTTCGGATTCTATCGGGATCATGTGTGACAATCCGTCAGCAATTGCAATTGCCAAAAATCTAGTCTATCATGATCGAACTAAGCATGTGGAGATTGACAGACACTTCATCAATGAGAAAATTGAAAGCAAGACAATATCACTCAACTATGTTCCATCTAGGCAACAAGCAGCAGACATCTTGACTAAAGCTTTGTTTCGGCCCAATCTCACTGAACTAAGTACTATACTTGGTTTGGAGAACATATATCGCCTAGCCTGAGGGTGAGTGTAGGAAATCAATCTAGGCGTGTGGTTAGCTATATCACGCTGTATAGCTGATTCTTAGGAGATTAGTTACCTAAAATACTCTAACCACGCTGTATAGTTGATTCTTAGGAGATTAGTTACCTAAAATACTGATATTATATTAGTTAAGATTTTGTATTATATAGATCCTAATTTATAGGAGCCTATCAAGGCCATATGTACAGGATATTATGTGTATATATAGGTATTCAGTCCCATGTAAATAAAGAAGAAGCATTTTTTCACAAATTTCACTAAGCTTCAAATACAAAGGTTAATCCACGTGATAAGGAATATGGTTGAAATATCCAAGTACGTTAATGAGGGTTGCATATATAAGAACACTAGAATGATTTCATGAAGAAATCCATGGTTAATCCAAGTGATAAAGAATATGGAAGTGAAATATCTGGCATTAACAAGGGTTGCATACAACAGAACACTACAATAATTTCATGAAGAACTTCATAGCTTCACTATTTAAGTCGGTCATATTAAGAGATTAGAGAGAGTGCTCTGTTAAAAAGATGAGAAAAGAAGTTACTTTCCAGCGCCATTTCACCATGATCAGGTTGGCAGACAATCAGATTTTCAATATCTACTCCCAGTGCCCTAGAATATGCGGGATCAAAAGCATGTTCTGCATCAACAAGCATGGCATTCCCACCAAGTTTCTGCATTTTGATGTAAATGTTCATTTAAATACCTTGAAAAAGAAATCATGTCCTTTAAAGTTAACCACACACACCTGTACTTCGGCAATAGCATGTAATGCTAGTGTGGTCTTTCCGCTACTCTCAGGACCATATATCTGCAAACAAATAGTCATGAAGTCAGATATAACCGCTACAGAAATAAAGACAAGAAGATAATACTCAAATCTCAAGTAAAATAAAAGGTTAATTGCCCATAGACGCCCTGTAGTTATATTGTTGCAGGCGGCCCCCCCAGTGAAATTGTTTGGCGCTCTTTCACCCTCAGAGAAAGAGAATTTTGATTTTTGACAAATAGATATCCTAAGGATAAAAGAGTCAAAAAATTCACTCAGAGGTCTATCCGCACTTGGGAGATAGTACAGGGGGTCTATCCACAACAATAGAACTAGGGGGTGTCTATCTGCAATTGGGCAATAGTACAAGATCGTCTAGCCACAATCAACCCTAAAATAGAAATAGTAGAAAGATTTCCAATGTTGCATGTCAGGCACACTATTATATGTAGGATGCTTCTCAAACACAGAATGGAGTGGCGGGCATATCTTTCAGTACCAAACACTTACAAATATGTAACCTTATTCACCTCAAAAGTATGTCTAAGATGAAGTATGTCATGTCACCCTAGACAAAAGAAAATTAAACGAGTCATTTTTACTATTTGAAGTTATCCACATATGAATAACAACCTAGGTATATCTGTATAAGATTAACACACAAAAGATACACACTATATAGCCATGTCCTTCTGTTAGGATTGCTCAAAATTGTCATATCTGACATCATGTGTCCATGTTGAAGTGTGATACCTGTGTGAAGTTTTGGATCTATATATCCTCGAGGTTATGCTGTTTGTATTATTTATGTTTGTTGAACTATAGACTTCTTTCAGAAACTTTAGTTTTGTATGAGAATATGCAAAGATTGCATCAAAATGCAAAAGATATGAGTAACCATGTGATACCCATATCTGAAAATTGTCTCCATACTATAGAAAGTCGGTCAGCCAATAACACTGCATAAAGACTCAAGCCATGTGCACATATACAAACAATATTAATAGCCCTATAAATATTAATTGGAAATGTGCCCCTCTGAAGATCAGATACTCCCTTGGTTACACAAGGAAATGAACATTCTCTTAAGAGGATATTATCACTGCCCCCTCATACCGTATGCAAATTTTATAAAATCAAAAGCAACTGATCAACATTTCAGTTGAACCAGTATAGCCAATATTAGCAGTTTTCTTTTCCATTTGTTCTTGCTTTACTGTGGTCAAAGAACATTGATATTAGCCCCGTTCATCGAGATTCTAAGAAGAATCATGACTAAAATTAGTTCTCAAACAATCAAAAGGAAAATTTAAACACGTACATAAAAGAATCATATCAGAGGTTACCTCTACAACTCTTCCTTTGGGAAGACCACCGCCCAGGGCAAAATCTAGTGTTAAACAACCACTTGGAAAAGTCTCACTGTGTCGGAAAGAATAGAAGTTTTAGCACAAACCCGAAATACATTTCTTCTCAAAAATGGACTTGCATGAACATCAGGTACCAACATCTTATGCTTAAAAGGGAATGTAAATTACACAAAAGCACCACCAGCACTGCCTAATCTTGTAACACTTCCTCTTCCAAAAGAACTGTTAATGTCGTTCATTGCTGCTTCCAGAGCTTTTTGCTACAAAAAAGGTAATTTTCAAAGATACTATCAATTGTGCACTTGGGCCAGGACATAAAGCAAAAAAGAGAAACATTAGTAGAATAAACACTAATGAAAAAACCCACTTTAGCACTAGGTTTAAGTATGTCGTTTAGGATCAACATTGCGGACAACATTACAATTTATGAATTTGATAAGAACTGTGGGCAATAGAGTCAAAGGTTAAAAGGGAACTGTTTATAAACACATAATTCAATAACTTCTTTATAACTAATAAACTACATATTTTCAGTGGTTTTCCAACAGAATTACCAATAAGAAAGCTTTATCCTGATGTTATGATGGGCATGGAGGTGAAAGGCAAATGAATAACAAGAAGGGGGAATAATACTCTTTACACATCGTAGTGGGTTCCCGACCGAATTAACCAAGATTTTTTGCAAACACCTTGTAAGTATCTTTTAGCCTTCTGAAACATTATACCATCAGAAGTTGAACTTGTACATATAGATTGGTCAAATGCTAAGGATAGATAAGCAGTGATTTCTATCACTACAAGGTAGTTTGAATTGATGAACAAATGAGGGAACCTAGTTAGGTCATTGCGGTGTGAGCAAGTCATTGCGGTGTGAGCAAAAGAAGACAACTGATTCTATCAATCAGAGGAAATATTGAGCGACTAAAAAGAACACAATAGTTGCCAAAATCAGAAGAAGAGATAAAAGTCTTTCTTGTTCTTTGTTTCAAACATAGGCTAGAGAGGAAGTATTAATAGTTATATGTGACTATGTGTAATCTTATTGTTTTTCAATACATAAAATGAAACGCTTCCAAACATTTGGCTTACTCTCACACATAAATCTCTTCTCGAAATATTTAGTTAAAACCTATGGATTCCTTAGTTTACGATTGCGAGGCTAATGGCCTTTAGATGAATATAAATGCCAATAAGTGATCCAGTGAGCTTTTAGCTTACACTTCCAACATGCCTCCGCAACATAACATACGCAAATGATATGTGGATACATGAGGAAATTGCTATAGACTTGGTTCTGTCGACAAAATTCTGAAAATGGTGGTTGGGAATTTCATTGATGAATACATAAACTGAAGTATAGCTGACTCAAATAAAGGAGAACTTTATTAATAGTGCATCTCAGTAAGACTTCAAGTAACAGAAGTTAGCAGATTAACTGATGTTTATTAAATCCCACATTAAAATAGACCAGCAAGCACCCAAAAACACATTCTTTTACTAAATTTTTCCACCAAGAGTAACGTCTAGAGGGAAAGAAGTGGGCGGAAAAGCCCATCTACAAAATTGAAGTTTTAAATAAAACCCATGATGGGTTTTGATCGAAATTTCAATAAAATGAAACCCAGGAACTTACTCGGTCTATATATCGAGGGTCAGTCTCGTTGGAGAGAGCGCCGTTGCCCTTCACATCGAACTCGCATCGAAGCTTCCTCCTAATTTTAGGACGAACGAAGGGCAAAGAGGAGGAACTGGAAGCTGGGAATTGAAGTGAAGACGAAAGAAACAGACTAGGGTTTATGAGGAAAAGGGTTTGGGGATTTACAAGGGATTTAGCAAAAGCCATGGTTTTTACAAGCTAAAGGGAGAAAAGGCAGCTCCTTTTATTTGTCCTCGATAGCAAGAAACAATAACGGGAAGGGTTGCCGTCAAATTTTGTAGGAAGAGTTTGGAGTGATAGTGGAGAACTAGAAGCGGTTTCGGGAGGCGAGGGCGATGGTTTAGAGCAGAAGAGGATGAAATCTTTTGAGTATAAAACTAGTAGAATCCAATTTAGTAGAATCCAATTATATTAAATTTCACTTTAAGCATGTATAATTTGGTCCCTAGAATTTCCAACATTATTATAAAACTCTACATCATATTAATTATTAGTAGTGAATAATAATATATTAATAGATAATTGCATGTCAATAAAATATTTATGAAAAGAGTAGAAAACATAGAATTGTCCTAAATTTTACCATGAAACTCATATAGGAAAATTACAAAGAACATTCTTATGTTTAGGTAACAAGACAAAAGGTACAAACATAAATTTTAGAAAACATTAGGATATTTAAGCGCATCAAGATTCTTTATCTAAAATTTGAAAAAAAAATGCAGCAAGACACAAAATGAAGGTATATAAGTATAATTTTGATAAACTGCAAGGTATTTAAATTCAGTTAAGCCTACAAAAGATTTAAAACATTTGTTATCCATAAACAATAGTATATTATCCCATTGATAAATAATATTTATCATACAATATGAGGTCAGATGCTTAGCTTATACTTATATAGTAGAGGAGATTAGAAAAATTAAAGCATCATATTTTAAATGAGTCTCAATATTTTAAATTATTTCCTGAAATTATATACTTCGTTTAGAAAACTTTAGAATAAACTTTTGAATGACTACTACAAAGTGTTAGACATCAAATAACTATTGAAAAAATAAAATCCATGATATCGGGTTGCAAAAATTAGGGATATGTATGCAATATTGGACGTTATATGGGATAATATTCATACATAACATGACATTGTATTATGTAATGTAACATGTTAATGAATTTTAAACATAAGAATTTGCATCAAGATATATGTTTAAGATTTGGAAGAGCCTAAAGTTGAGAAATTTGGGAGAAGAATTATGGAATTTGTGGTTTTTGCGGGTTTCGATTTTGTTTCCTAAACATGATCCAAACCCCAACCCACAATCAAATTAAAAATGACATGATTTTCTCGATATCTTTAAAGGGATTTATCGGTCATATTTTCAATAACGATCGATATATCAAAAAGATCAACAAACAAAAGAAAATAATATAAAATATTACTAAGATAAAGTCTTTAACCCGATATATTAGCCGATATAATAATATATTGGTCGATATTTAATAGAATGCCTATAAGAGCAATATGTAAAGGTTATTTAGATATTAGTTCCTTGATTTTAAATATCCAATCCCACAAAATTTTAAAATTGCTCCATAATATTAGGAACTAATATTAAATTATTAAAATTTTGAGGGACAAATTATAAATAAGTCATATTTAAAAGAAGTGTTAGTTTTTTAAAAATCCTCTTAACTATGGAGATTGTCTTAAAAACTCCACTCAACTGATTCAATTTGACAAAACTCTCTCATTATGTAGGGTGTTACAGATAACCCCTCTCAACTTTGATACAATTTTAGAAAACACCTCTCAATTATAGCATATCTCATAAAAAAACCCTAATCATTTACATTTCTATCAACAAACCCCCTTAACGTAGTTACTTCGATATGTGATTTGGAAAAAAAATACTCACTTAAAGAAAGCAATTTTAATTAAAAAGAAACCATCAACCAATAATAAATGGATCACAATCAATTTATACTTTTTTCCCCCTTTATATCACCTCTTTTATCTGGCAAAAGCCAATGTAATTCTTTTATGATTGATTGATATTTTAGTCTTTTTAAGTCAAGTATTTGTCACATAATAGATAAGACTTAATGATGTTAGTTTTGAGGGGTTAGGTTTAAGTGAGAAAAGTTCACTAGGATTAAATTATTTTTTTCAAGTTGAGATAGATTATCTACAAAGCACCCAAAACTTGGTGGAGATTTACTCGGTTTTAAATAGTTTTGTCGGGGGTGGAGGGTGGGGGGAGGGGGGTTGACATGCCCTCCATAGTTGAGGGGGAGTTTTCTAAAATTAACTCTTAAACAAAAACACAACTTAAGGCACATGTGATATCAATTTTATAATAGTAAAGTTTATAGCAAGTCCATCACTCAATGAACTGGTTTGGGTTATTTGTTCTTAAATTTATCCTACACATCAAGTCTAAAAAAATTTTGCTATAAGAATCTCTAAGAGAATTTTAATATTTATTTGGGATGAGTATATGATCATTCTGATTCCCCTTGTATTTTATGATTCGTAATAAATTATTTGACAAAGTAAATTAAGTTGTCATTATATATTGCTCGCATTCTTATAAGATTATGAAGCTCGTAGCTTGGATGTGAGTATTATTGTAGATATTGTATTCTTCTAACTCCTTAAGCTAAATTTGTAGATGTTGTTTGATATTTGATAAACATGAATTATTTTGTTAAAATACAATCAATATATGAGTGCATAATATATACAAATCATTCTTAGACTATATTTTATAATTTTCTAAAACTAGCGAGTAATCAATTAGTAGTTGGGAAGATGTAAAAAGAGCACAATGTCAGATATTAAAATTGATCACATAATTTATAATTTCTTTATTGATTGAATTTGCGCATTCTAACTTAAAAAATTCTATAAAAAAATTCTTGAATATTTATAATACTCGATCGCCATATAAACAACAGGTGGAAGTGATTATTTTATAACTGAACAAAATCCTTAATGACTAGATAAAACTAACCATTTTTCTTAATGAATTCAAGAATTTATTTTTTATTAATAATAATAGATTTTTTCCATATTGATCCCTTACATCATTAATATTTTAAAATTATATATTTAAATTGTTAATTAATCTTAAATCATTAATATTTTAAGACTTTAAACATCAATATTTTTCTGGAAGACAAAATGTCAAAATGAGACATGGAAGTATCCAAAAAATTTAGGGCTTGTTTGGATTGAGGGGAATAAGGGTGAAGGGAAGTTAGGGGAACCATTCACCTTGTTTGGGAACATTTAGGAGGTGAAGTTATTCATCCTAGTTCTCCTTGGTTCACCCCCTAGTAAAAATAAAAAGGAGTAGTAGCTCAGAGAGTGCTTGTTTTCATCGTGAGTATGATGATTGTGACGGAACCCACCGATCACAAAGCACTAACTTCATCATTGATACTTCAGTGTGTTTGTGGGGTGAGAGAGGCTCGAACACTCGATCTCAGGATTTCTCAAATTTAGCTATGAGACCTACGCGCTAGCCAACTGCGCCACCACCCCGTTGTTTTGATTCTCATGACATATCATATTAATTCAATTACTTCCGTAGCATTTAAGAACCCCCGCCCACAGGAAAATATCATCACCGGAATGTTTCTCGCCTAAGCTATTGAGCTTCACTAAGGCCTAACCATGAGATCAGGCAAGTGTTGACCCAGTCATTGAAGCCCATTTCAATGAATCCCTCCTACGTAGGGATGCTCAGCCATATCGGTATCTGCGGATATATCCGTAATCGTATCCTTTAGAATACCGATATAATTACTCAAACCTATCACCGATAGATATAGTTGCGGGTATGGTTATTTAGTGAACTATTCGGGTCCCTATTTGAAGTATCAGAATATATGTTGATCATATAGCCGCAATTGTTTCCAATCCTTAGATTCTAAGACTAATTTTGATGACCAATAGATCAAGTCTCAACTCTTCAAATATAATAAACATAGCAACTGAACTCCCTTGTACTGTATGAACTATATTCTTTTGATATTATTTCGTTTTCTCATATATGTTTTGTAACGACATGCATATCTAGATGTATATCACAAGTATATCTAAATCCATATCCAATGTTAGCAGATATGGATATGGATTTTCTTTATCGAGGCATATCTGTATCCACATCTGTGATTGGAAAAGTGGACATAAATATGGTAAATATCATACCCAAGCCGTTTCCGGACAATTTGCACCCCTGCTCCTACTTAATATAATATAATTTGCCTACTAACCTGATATTTCAGATTATCTTGACATTATTAACTCCTCTTAAGGTCCAAATACACATGTGGCTCATCTGCTCATCGTTTAACCGATGATAATCTTTTCAAGTGAGGTATGTGATCCAACATCACATGCGTGTTGTGTCGAACTATGATAGAGGAGTCACAACATTTACTTCTTTCATTCTTGTTTCACCCTCTCGATTTGGACCTATTTTGAAGTGAAGTTCAACCTCACATGTTGGAAGTCCTCAGCTAAAGAACTCTAGGCTTCTTCTTGCCCAAATGCAATCTCCATATGGGAAGAACGTAACGAGCGTGTTTTCAACTCAAAGAGTCAGACCAAAGAAGATTCATAATGAGTACTTCACTATTAGTGGAGCTCTGGCTTGATCACCTGACATTGCCTAAATGCAAATGATCACACAAGTTCCTAGGTTACCCTCACCCTCTATCTCTTCTGATCGTCAATAGAGGATGAAATCGTTGAGTATAAAACTAGTAAAATCCAATTTAGCCGCCATATCAAAAATAAAATCAACCGTCTTTCAGGGCCCTTTTCTTTCCACTACCAACCCCCCACCCACCCACGCACCTTTTTTTTTTGGAGGAGTGAGGTGCAGTATAAAGATTTTTATGAATATTTATTATAACTTGGAAAACTACTATAACTTAATTATAATTTGTTTAAATAATTAAAATATAAAAAATAATTATTATAATTTTCAATAATTATTATTTGGGGACGTAACTCAAATGGTAGACCGTTCACTTAGCTTGCGAGCAGTAAACGAGGATGGGGATCGATAACTCGCATCTCCATATAATTTAGTGTACTGCTTTGTCATTGAAGTATGCATCCAATAATAGAGAATTTAGAAGTCATTAGAATTTTCACAGCACAGAATAAGTAAAATAGAATTAGAAGTAAACATAGACCATTTTTGTTACAATTTGGTGTACAATTTTATCATTGAAGTCCCTATTCAATGATAAAGAGTTTAGAAGCATTTAGAATTTTCGCACCATAAAATAAGTAAAAATAGAATTAGAAGTTAATATAGAGTTATTATTAGAAAAATAAAGATTT